CCCCATTTGTCTCTCTACTGTCCTGTCCATTAAAGGCACAAAAAGCCCAAAAAAATAACTAAAAAACAAAACAAAGATGGCGGCTTCTGACCTCTACCACCACAGAGAGAACAGACCCAGCAGTGTGGGGCTGCCCATGGTTTGTCCCTTCACAGCCTCCATCATTCTTGGCCTGGCACATATCAGTCCAGCGCAGAGGGTCAGTCCACTTGTTATGTGCTATCTGTCCATCTGCACACACACTGTCTAACACAGCGGGTGTCTTACAGGAGACATGCCATGACCTTTAAGAGCAGCACGCCTGCCTGCTCATATACTGTTGCGGGGTTTCCCCTGGCCTGTCGCAGGCGAAGGCGGGAGCTAATGTCACTAGCAGGGTGGGGTGTGAGCGCAGACACAGAGATGGAGGGATAAAGAAAAGGAAAAGAAAAGCAGGAAAGAAAACAGGACAGAGAAACACATTGTTTTTAATCTCTTTATTGTCATTAAACGTTGTCCATACATCTCCTTTGCATTCCTGCTGGAGAAACATAATGTGAGCCAACAATAGAAACACATTAGTCTCTGCTGTCAGCTGTGAGAGCTGCTGCTGTTCTGTGTGTTATTGATGATATTCACACAACGAAACCTCCACAACCTCCTGATGAGGCATAAAAGAGACTGAAAGCATAACTGTACCCTCCAAGCCTCTACTCATACATGTGTACTACAAATATATGTGTACTACTGATATATGAGGACCCGCCTTCACACAGAAACCTGAACCATTGTGTTCTGAAGCCTTGAGGAAAGGAAGGAACTGGAATTTACCCAGAATCCCTCAGGGCAAGCAGTAAATATATAAGGGAGGGTCTGATATGTAAATGATGTGAGGAGGATACTCAGTTCTGATTGGCTGTAACCACACAAGTTAATTTGAATGTGTTAATGTTCCAACTAAAAGTCATCACTAGTATCCACTGTTGACTTGTCCTCGATGTCTCTGCTGTAGTGCTAACATCATTCTGCTAACACTGAAAGCTCCTGGTTAAGAAATCACTGAGGCTCATAACATAATATAACATAACATAATATAATATATCATAACATAACAATATAACATAACATAACATAACATAATATAATATAATATATCATAACATAACAATATAACATAACATAACATAACATAACATAATATAATATAATATATCATAACATAACATAATATAACATAACATTACATAATATAATATATCATAACATAACAACATAACATAACATAACATAACATAACATAACATAATATATCATAACATAATATAACATAACATAAGACACACTTCAAAATGCACCAGCCTTGTTCTTATTTCTTTACTCAAAGAATTCAGAATTGTGTGAGTTTAAACTTTTGTTATTTATTAAGAAGTAAAATGGTTGAAATAGAATGTTCTTCTTCTTGGCTCAGATTGACTGTGTGAAGTTTATCAATGGTCTCAGCTTTCACATATAGAGAACAAGCAGCCCAGTGTTTTAAACTGAGCTCAGGTAACCCACGACACAAGTGATCATCGTCCCCATCACCGTGGTAACCGTGGTAATCCAGTCAAACTAATTCTTCACCAGCGACCACACAGCCAATGGGAGGAAAGGCTGTCTTTCAAAATGACTGGTTAATCTACAATGCTGCTAATTACCTTCACCAGGTTTAATCCGGGGGGGGGGGGGTTACTGACTATCAGTAACATATGATGGTGTACATGCAGACATAGAACAGTGTTGAATAGAACTACACACAGACTAACAGACTGTGTCCAGAGGCCACTGATCATCTGTAATTAGTGTCTGTTTGAACCAGTCAGTGGATCAATAAACTAAACACCAGCTCCTCTTCACTTTGGACCAATTAAGGAAATCAATCATTAATTTGTTTTTCCTTTTAGCTTTAATTCTTGCTGCTTTCCCTGTTTCCTGTTCATGTTTTTCTCTGTTCCTAACCCCCCCCTCCTCTCTCTCTGTCTTCAGGGGGGTGTATGACATCGTGGTATTAGGAACATGTGTGGGTCAGTATGATAATAAGGGCAGCTTCGGGGAGCTGGCTCTCATGTACAACACGCCACGTGCCGCCACCATCATCGCCACCCAGGAGGGGGCGCTATGGGGACTGGTAAGAACAAAGAGCCCAGACAGAAGGAGGTGTGATACTCTGCAGTCTGACTGTTTGTGTTAGTACTGATGTAGAGAGCACTCTGATGATGGTTGATCATGTGCAGCTCAGTCACTGGTTGAATGTTGGAGCTCAGTTTAAACTCGGTGAGTTGTTCTGCTTCTGAATGGAGTGTGTTCTCTATGAATGGAGCTGTGTGCTCTGATTGCTGCTGCGGCAGCTCCCCCGTGTGGTTGACGTGAGGAGGAGCACAGTCAGAGAGGAGCTGTTTGTTTACTCCTGTTTGTTTCCTGTTTGTTTCCTCCTGTTTGTCCTGTTTGTTTCCTGTTTGTTTCCTCCTGTTTGTTTACTCCTGTTTGTTTCCTGTTTGTTTCCTCCTGTTTGTTTCCCCTTTTTTGTTTCCTGTTTGTTTACTCTTGTTTGTTTACTCCTGATTGTTTTAGGACCGTGCCACATTTCGTAGACTCATTGTGAAGAACAACGCCAAGAAGAGGAGGATGTATGAGTCGTTCATTGAGTCTGTGCCCTTACTCAAATCACTGGAGGTGAGTTCACAGTTAGCCACTCAGCTAACAGCTAACAGCAGCTACTACACACTGGGAAGAGTTGATGAGGGATAAAGTTCTCACTCTTGAGAGAAGAAATGATGGTTTTAATTCTGGTGAGAACAAAAGTACTTTAGTTACTTATATTCTACATCAGCAGCATTTCACCACAACACTGTGTTTATACAGTCACTGTGGTTTAAACTGAGAGTGGTCAAAAGCAGAGGAGACAGAGAATGAAGGAGTGACTCCCTGCTCCTCTCTCTGCTTCTCCTGAGTTTCTCCTCCTCTTTTCTCCAGGCGACAGAGAGGATGAAGATCGTGGATGTATTAGGAGCGAAGCAGTTCTCAGATGGTGAACGCATCATCACACAGGTGAGACACAGAAACAGCTGAGATGGTGTCTCACGTCTCACACAGAGCAGTTTTAATAAGTTGTGTGTTTCTCCTCAGGGAGACAGAGCTGAGTGCTTCTTCGTCGTAGAATCTGGGGAGGTGAAGATCATGATGAAGAGTAAAGTAAGTCGCCTCCTTTGATTTGAGGATTTTACCTGAAGGTGAATGTATTTCTCTGTTCCCTCCAGTTCTCCTCTACAGCTCTGCAGCTGTCTCTTCTCTGTTGGTTCAGATGTTTCAGTTGAATCAGTATAACAGCTGATTAATTCTTTATCAGTTCATCTCAGTGCAGATGATCTCGTCAGTGACGACCTTCGTTCCCCATTAAAAACCACCACAGCACAACAGTGTTATTAGGTTTTGCCTAGCAACAGCAGGAATCACAGTAGTCTGTTAGCAGCTGAGAGCTTCTCATTCTCAAGAATGAGAAGCTTGGTGGTTCCTCACCTTTAATCATCTCCTCTGCCCCCCCGCCCCCGCCTTGCAGACGAAGGCGGATCATGCAGACAATGCGGAAGTGGAGATAACGCGCTGTAGCAGGGGTCAGTACTTTGGGGAGCTGGCCCTGGTCACTAACAAGCCCCGAGCCGCCTCAGCCTACGCAGTCGGCAGCGTCAAGTGTTTGGGTAAGAATGAAACACTGAGCCACACTCATCACACTCGTCACATTCCTCACACTCGTCACATTCCTCACACTCGTCACATTCCTCACACTCATCACATTCCTCACATTCCTCACACTCGTCACATTCCTCATATTCCTCACACTGGTCACATTCCTCACACTCGTCACATTCCTCACACTCGTCACATTCCTCACATTCCTCACACTCATCACATTCCTCATATTCCTCACACTCGTCACATTCCTCACACTGGTCACATTCCTCACACTCGTCACATTCCTCACATTCCTCACACTGGTCACATTCCTCACATTCCTCACACTCGTCACAGTCCTCACACTCGTTACACTCGTCACATTCCTCACATTCCTCACATTCCTCACACTCGTCACATTCCTCACACTCGTCACATTCCTCACACTCGTCACATTCCTCACACTCGTCACATTCCTCACACTCGTCACACTCGTCACACTCACTCGTCACACTTGTCACAATCACACTCGTCACACTCATCACATTCCTCACACTCGTCACATTCCTCACACTTGTCACATTCCTCACACTCGTCACACTCCTCACATTCCTCACACTCGTCACATTCCTCACATTTGTCACATTCCTCACACTCGTCACACTCCTCACATTCCTCACACTCGTCACATTCCTCACACTCGTCACATTCCTCACACTCGTCACATTCCTCACACTCGTCACATTCCTCACACTCGTCACATTCCTCACACTCGTCACATTCCTCACATTCCTCACACTTGTCACATTCCTCACACTCGTCACATTCCTCACACTTGTCACACTCGTCACACTCACTCGTCACACTTGTCACAATCATCACACTCGTCACACTCATCACATTCCTCACACTCGTCACACTCACTCGTCACACTCACTTGTCACAATCCTTACACTCGTCACACTCACTCGTCACACTCGTCACACTCACTCGTCACACTCACTCGTCACAATCCTTACACTCGTCTCACTCGTCACACTCGTCACATTCCTCACACTCATCACATTCCTCACACTCGTCACACTCATCACACTCGTCACATTCCTCACACTCGTCACATTCCTCACACTGGTCACACTTGTCACATTCCTCACACTCATCACATTCCTCACACTTGTCACATTCCTCACATTCCTCACACTCGTCACATTCCTCACATTCCTCACACTCGTCACATTCCTCACACTCGTCACATTCCTCACACTGGTCACACTCGTCACATTCCTCACACTCGTCACATTCCTCACACTTGTCACATTCCTCACATTCCTCACACTCGTCACATTCCTCACATTCCTCACACTCGTCACATTCCTCACACTCGTCACATTCCTCACACTCGTCACGATCATCACACTCGTCACATTCCTCACACTCGTCACACTCACTCGTCACACTCGTCACACTCCTCACACTTGTCACACTCGTCACACTCGTCATACTCACTCGTCACAATCATCACACTCGTCACATTCCTCACACTCGTCACACTCACTCATCACAATCATTACACTCGTCACACTCACTCGTCACACTCACTCGTCTCACTCGTCACACTCATCACAATCATCACACTCGTCACATTCCT